CATACGTCACCACTGAAGACCAGGGAAGTACTTTCCCAGTTCCTCTGAAGAAGTACGAGAGGATTTCTTGCTGCAAGAATGAAACTGCCTACTAAATAATCAATAAAGCTGATGATCTGCTGGTAAAATCGTGTTATCACTTACTGTTTGTTCGGGATGAACCTTATTACATTCTGATTGAAGATAATCTGCTAGCCAACTCTGTCTCCCCGTGAAGGCATATTTAGAACCCATAAATGGCAACCAATAGTTTGTTGGAGTTCGGTTTAACGCTGTACACAACAATATTCCAGCTTTACGACGGCATCCTATAGTCCGTTTGTCTCCAAATGAGAACGACGAATTGCAAAATAATTCAAAATCGGGAATAGTGCCAAAACTGTAGATGGTAATGAATACCCTGTGCTCATCAGTATCTTTTCTTGTAACAGAAACCATTCTTCCGTGATATATTTGTGTGGTATATGCACAAAATTGACACCTGCTTCATTCGTTATGTAGCTGGAATACTGGTGAGTATGACTGTCACAACAAGCGAATCGTTTTCAACCGTTGCAATATATACGACATATTATACACAGTATCTATTTGTTCAATTGTCGGAAGCCTAATAAAATTGAACTAACTAGTCAAACACATTCAGTTATTTTGAGAGATGTGTTTTTGAAACCATGTCTATCTTTGACCGACTGAATCGACAGCTGGATACGACTTATCATACCCCCTGAAGATTGAACAATTTACCTAAAATCCTAAAGTCCACATGGAAGTCTATGGAATGCAGTCCTCTCCCAGAAGGACATGGGTGACACCTATCAATTTAACAACTAAATTATAGTTTTAACTATTCCATGAACATGGTTCATCTGTTTATATAGTCCGCCTTATACCGTATTTCCTCTAATAAGCGCCCTGGCGCTTATTTTTTCAACGGACCTCCATACCCGGCGCTTATTAGAAGCTCGGCGCTTATTAAAATACCCTAAGGAGTACATGAAGTTATGATTTGAGGGACCATTCCTTAATATATTTATTTTTAGACCAAGGGAGAATACATTTGCGAAAAAAAGCAAAGGTCTATACCCGGCGCTTATTAGAGGCCCGGCGCTTATTTCTTAAAGCACTGCTTTATCCCCGACGGTTATTAGAGGTCCGGCGCTTAATAGAGGAAATACGGTAGCTGGACTATTGCCGAGTGCGATGCTTCATCTCTTGCATTAATGGCCTCAACCTTACAATGACAGCCTCGCCCATATCTGGTTCACCCTTACAATGACAACCTCGCCCATATCTGGTTCACCCTTACAATGACAATCTCACCCCTATCTGGTCAGTAATACGTGGCAACTCGGAGGAATTGTATTGATTATATTGGATGACGAATAAGTGACGAGTTAAATCCACGTAGTGGTATGTATCGGCAGTGTATGAAATAAGGCCTGTCCAACCGCCCGAGACGGGCTAGATTTCTGCCGGACGGTCTAATTTTACAGCTTGCCAGCCCGATGGACGGGTGAAAACAAAGTTCAGATAACCTGTCCACTTGCACTGTCTAGTTAGTATTTAAGAAGGACTGGTTAAATCTCTGTTGGGTTGGTAAGGTTTTGAAGTTACCAGTCCAGATGTCCGGCTGGGTTTTTGGCTTATTTCATACACTGCTATCGGGTCTTGTCCTACCCGTCTTGTCGACATAAGGCTTCATGCGGGCTACATGCGTGCTCAATTTGCTAACACCCTCAGGCTGTCTGCTTATAACATTCATGCGGGCAATATTGTTGAACCACCATTTAATTAGTATACATAACTACATGTATCAGAAAATACGTAGCAACGTAGGATTTGGAAATTTGGAAATATTTACACCCCCAAATGAGAATATAATTATCAAAGATAAGACACGACAAACCTAAGTAACTTTACTCAAGCATACCCCTCAAGGCAGATAGGCAACTAGATAATCATTATCTTTCCAGACGAGTGAGCTTTTAACCAGTAACGAAACATTAAATAAACTCTTTCTCTCAAAAAAGTATAATGAGGGTTGAGAGTGCAATGTGAGACACAAAAATATTTTATTGCGAGTGCGCTAGAAATCCGAGTAGACAAGTAAAGTTTTTTCATCACTTGACCCAGACTTGCCTGAACATAACCCCAGAGTGGAAGTCTGTATGAGAAACGTGGTTCATGATTGCTGGTGTCATGGTGGCCCAAATGACTTGTTTGGTATCAGATGGCTTAGATTGACTGTTGACCTGCTGACTGGAACGATTGTGCTGAATGAAATGGTGACCTGAAGAAATCATCGATTAGTGTTGGTCCACATCAGATCGTCCCTCAACATCGACTCTCACCATCATCGATTAGTGTTGGTCCACATCAGATCGTTCCCTCAACATCGACTCTCACCATCATCGATTAGTGTTGGTCCACATCAGATCGTTCCCTCAACACCGACTCTCACCATCATCGATTAGTGTTGGTCCACACCAGATCGTTCCCTCAACATCGACTCTCAACATCATCGATTAGTGTTGGGCCACACCAGATAGTTCCCTCAACACCGACTCTCACCATCATCGATTAGTGTTGGGCCACACCTGATCGTTCCCCAACATCGACTCTCAACATCATTGATTAGTGTTGGGCCACATCAGATCGTTCCCCCAACATCGACTCTCAACATCAGCGATTAGTGTTGGTCCACATCAGATCGTTCCCTCAACATCGACTCTCAACATCATCGATTAGTGTTGGCCCACACCAGATCGTTCCCCCAACATCATCGATTAGTGCTGGGCCACACCAGATCGTTCCCTCAACATCGATTCTCAACATCATCGATTAGTGTTGGTCCACACGAGATCGTTCCCTCAACATCGACTCTCAACATCATCGATTAGTGTTGGTCCACACCTGATCGTTCCCCCAACATCGACTCTCAACATCGATTAGTGTTGGGCCACACTAGATCGTTCCCTCAACATCGACTCTCAACATCATCGATTAGTGTTGGTCCACATCAGATCGTTCCCTCAACATCGAATCTCAACATCATCGATTAGTGTTGGTCCACACCAGATCGTTCCCTCAACATCGACTCTCAACATCATCGATTAGTGTTGGTCCACATCAGATCGTTCCCTCAACATCGACTCTCAACATCATCGATTAGTGTTGGTCCACATCAGATGGTTCCCTCAACATCGACTCTCAACATCATCGATTAGTGTTGGGCCACATCAGATTGTTCCCCCAACATCAACTCTCATCAATGATTAGTGTTGGGCCACATCAGATCGTTCCCTCAACATCATCGATTAGCGTTGGTCCACATCAGATCGTTCCCTCAACATCGACTCTCAACATCATCGATTAGTGTTGGTCCACATCAGATCGTTCCCCAAACATCAACTCTCATCATCGATTAGTGTTGGTCCACATCAGATCGTTCCCTCAACATCGACTCTCAACATCATCGATTAGTGTTGGTCCACATCAGATCGTTCCCTCAACATCGACTCTCAACATCATTGATTAGTGTTGGTCCACATCACATCGTTCCCTCAACATCGACTCTCAACATCATCGGTTAGTGTTGGTCTACATCAGATTGTTCCCCCAACAAATACTCTCAACATCATTGATTAGTATTGGATGATATCAGATCAGACTTTTTTTCATAGAGGCTGATTGACTGATCTTTTGTGTGAAGGTATGAAATGGTTCAGACTGATTCTTGATCTGACTGTCCAGAGCATGATGACAGCAGATGATTCAAACTGTTGCCCTGGCCGTCTGATTCAGACTGACAGTTAAAATGGGTGCATAACTGATTATTCTAGTGTAAGTGCGTTTGTGTCTGTGAGGAGTGTTCCATTCTCAGTCAGTATTGTCAGTATGACATATATGTCCTCTGCTTGCTGGACTGTTTGCTGCAGCCTATGAACCTCCTTAGTCTGTCATACAGACCCTTAAGTAAATATATCCACGCAAGTCTAGAAAATGTGGCAAGTCAAGATTTCCACAGAAAATTAAGAAAGCCTCAGGGCTCCTTTCCAGTATATTTCATTTTTTTACTATGAACTTGTTCTTCTGTAAAATATGTTCATTTAAGAGACTAGTTGTTAGTCTAGAACCTCCTTTCAATTTAGCCTGTAGTGCTATAAGTATCTACTGCTATCTCACAGTGGTCCTGCGAGGGTGACTACTTTGAAGTGAGACTTACTGAAAGCTTTTACATTTGAATACTGAAACCTGCTTGGAAGTTGCGGTTCGATGATGCGGGTTTGAGCAAATGAGTCAGTTTAGTTTTACGCCACTTTTAGTAATATTCCGGCAATATCAGGGCGGAGGAGACCAGAAATGGGCTTCCCACATTGTACCCATGTGGGGAATTGAACCAGGTCTTTGGCATGATGAGCAAAATGCTTGAACCACTTGGCTATCAATATGCACATGTTGCCTTAGGCAGGTTAAAACATAACTTATTTCCTAAATGAAGTCCATGATGTATACCAAACAAGCAACTTCCCACATCATATAGTAACCCACTGTTTTCCTACTGAGCCACCTAAAGTGATTACAGATTGTTCAGTCTTACATGTCATGACTTCAGTGGTCTGATAGCTCCATGTTTTCATAGAATTTGTTTAAAACCGCGACTGCTGTATTTTTTTCACTAGAAAGTACATTATCTTTTTCTTTCTGGTATTTCTTGCATATAGATGGTTTATGAATTAGTTGAAACATCCATCAGTTCAGATTGAAAATTCAAAACCTATGGATACGGAAAAGCTCTTTGGAGTCTGGTCCTTGGAGGTTTTTTTCCTCCATGTTTCACTCACTCAACCAAAACATTCAAGGTTCAACTAAACCTTATTATTTCATGACCGGAACATCTATATATATGTGTTTATAGCAACACCAGATCCTTCAGATACATGGATTAAAACATTTAATTTTTCAAATATTTGCTGCAAATAATGAAAAACATGGCACAGTTGCAAACCTTTAACCTTTATTCACTAACCAATGACTTTCTTATACATTCCAAAACCCACTGAACATGTGAACGTGATACCACACTCTCAGTTTCAGAACTGGCCTTGGTGATCAAAGCTTGAAAAGGGGGAGATAACTCTTGTTTGTTCAAGCGCTTATTAGTCAACTCAAGAAGGTATTGTTCAAGATGATTGTGATCAATAACTGCTGCTCCTTCTCCTCTTGTGAGATTCATGTTGATCTTGTGAATTTTACCTTTAACTATATCAATATTGAGGTCAAGATCAACCTTTCCACCATCAATCACTTTAGTGTAGGACTTGATGATGGAGAATGGAGGTGTTTTTGCAAAAATAAAATCCCATTTCTTTAATTCTTTGATTTTTGTGGAAACACCTGGAAAATCTGCATCTGTGATTGTACTGATGTACTGTATTGAACACTTTCCCTGAAAGAAAATACAAGAACTTGAGAACAATGACTCAGAAACTATTTAGAATACAAAGTATAGGTAGGAGAGGAGGAGAATTATGTAGGGTTTTGTTTCTTAACACAGAAAGGTTTTACCCTGTAATTCATTTTTCATATAAACTTTAAGTTACAATTAATACATTAATTCTGCCTATGGGTAGACTTAGACTTCGGAGGGTAGACACAGACTGCTTGTGGGTAGACCCAGACTGACTGAGGGTAGACCCTGCTGTTTGTGGGTACACCCAGACTGCCTGAGGTAGACCCTGCTGTTTGTGGGTACACCCAGACTGCTTGTGGGTAGACCCTGCTGTTTGTGGGTACACCCTGCTGCCTGTGGGTAGACCCAGACTGCTTGTGGGTAGACCCAGACTACCTGTGGGTAAATTCAGACTGTTTGTTGGTAGACCCCTGTAGACCCTGCTGCCTAGACTGTTTTATGGGTAGACCCAGACTGTTTGTTGGTAGACCCTGCTGCCTGTGGGTAGACCCAGTCTACCTGTGGGTAGATGCAGACTACCTGTGGGTAGGCCCTGCTGTTTGTGGGTAGATCCAGACTACCTGTGGGTAGACCCAGACTGCCTGTGGGTAGACCCAGACTGCATGTGGGTAGATCCAGACTACCTGTGGGTAGACCCATATTGCCTGTTGGTAGACCCAGACTGCCTGTGGGTAGACCCGGACTGCTTGTGGGTAGATCCAGATTGCTTGTGAGTACACAAGAATAAAGCTTCAGTATGAACACTAGGGTTCTGATATCTTGGACAGAAACTGCTGATGTTATGTTATATTACCTGAGGTATGTTCTGATGGAGAAACTTGTCCCCAATACACTGTACGATTGAAGGGATGTCCATAGAGGGTGCTGACTCAACCATGTTGCGTACATTTGCAGGAACACTCTCTGTTGATTTGCTTTTTACACCAATCTGGTCCAAAACACAACATAAAGTATATTGAGCAGAAAATACACAATGCCATTTAGAAAGTGATCAAATGTAACATGTTATATTTGGGATTACACTTTCTTATCAAAGTACAGATTCTAGTACTCACGGAACCTTGTGTGCTGGCGATTAGGTGCCGGACTCTGAGGGTGTGGGTTCGAATCCCATATGGGATTCAACCCAAAACAAAGTACTAGAATCTGTACATTACTAAGAAAGTGTAATCCCAAATATTCTTCCCATCAAAAGTTTAAAACACTCACTATATGTCATGTATATATATATGGTTACACAGAATATTGATTTCTCCACTAACTTGGGTTAACCAACTGCAAACCTTATGCAGATGAATTGCATGAGGATCATGCATCAAATTGCTGAAAAGCTTGTGCAAATATCGTGCACGTGAACAGCTGCGGTTGGATGTGAAGTGCTGTTAAGAATTTGCCAATTTTCACTGATTTCTATCATTTATTGAACTCATGACAATAATCTTTTCAACGTTACAAATTTGTTTTACAATACATCAGTTCATGTGTAAACAGTACCTTTAAACAGTATGGAATATTTTGCAAAATTTAGTTTAGAACAGTTGACTGAAGTAAGTGGTGGCTATATTTACACTAGTGAGTTTGAACTTTTGATAGGAAGTATATAACATATGTTATATTGAGCAGGTCCTTTCCAACAACAGAACATGAACTGGATCTGGTATATTCCAGAGGCCAAGATAAGCTGCGTATCCGGGTAAAATATGCATAGAAAATTTCCAATTACGCATTGAAAAATAATTGTTGGGTACTAATTACGCATTAAAATGTTAGATACGCAAAAAGTTTAAAACTAAATGTGTACAAAATATATTTATAAAAATTGCTTGCGTAATGAAAAAGACATTGACTGCTATCAAGCTGTACTGTTAGTATAGGACTAGTGTTGTACTGTCAGTATAGGATGAGTGATTTTTTTATGAAATCATTTCCATTATATTTAAATTGGTTTTGATTAGGTATGACATAAGGCAGGACATACCTGCTCAGTAAACTTACTCAATGACATAATACTTAGGTGAGTAAAATGACTGAAATATGCACATATTTGAAAGTAGTGGGTAACGGGAAATATAATACCCACTCAACATTCATAATACCCACTCCAAATAAATACAGTGGGTACAGTACCCACATGAGCTAAATCTTATCTGGAGCTCTGTATTCAGCCCTCAACAACACATCTGACACCTGTTAGGCTGATATTTGGGATTACACTTTCTCCATAAAGTAGAGTTGCTTTTACTTGTTTGGGTGGAACACCTAATCACCAGCACACAAAATAAGTGATCTAACCCACAAACAGCCATGGCAGCTTCCACAAAAATGGAAGTCTGAGAAATGGTCGTCTTGACCATGTAAATTGTGTACCCCTCTGACAATTTCATTTCATTTCATTCTAATTGTTCATAATGTAACCGAATTCATGAAAAGCAGTAAATATTCTCTGTTTTGGGACTAGATTTTAACCCTATATGTTATAACCATTCAGGACAGAACTGATCCTGCATACCAACCATTGGTGACTGCAGCAAGGTAGTGAGTCGCTCCACGTCAACATCAACTAGGAGAGTAAAATGGTGGTACGTCCGATGGCCTCCCAACTTGGCTGCTGTACCAGACACCTGGAACATTATCTGACACTGATGAAAACAAACCTGGAAATATGCTTCACCAGTGTATTATTCCAAGAAAACTATGATGTATCAGACAGGGTGTTATCCCACAGATTACATACTTTACTGTGTTAGCTTGCTCACAGGGTAACCCTCATTTTGGTAATCTGTGAAAGGTTTTGACCTGTGACAGTCAGGTGCTTGTGGGTTTCGTCTAAGTGGTAAATGTGTGATATCTACAACACTCAAGGCTTTCCTCTCACATAACGATGACATATAACTTGAATAATGTTCAACAGCAGTGTAATCATTCACTCACTCTGATGATCAGAACAGAATGTCTGTGAGTCACGTGAGGTGATACAAACAACAGATCTTTCCAGCTGCCCTATGCATATCACTAAAGACATTTACCCCGTGAGCAGGATGAGGATGTGTCTTCTGGGATGACTCCACCCCCTGCTAAATTCTCCCAGTCAATATAGAGCATGTTCCGAGCTGTTACTAACAATGATAATGTAGCAGGGCGTAGAGTCATCCCACAGATGACATCCTTACCTTGTCAGCTTGCTGATGGGGTTTACCTCTTTGGTCATGTAGACAAGGCGCCCGACTTCAAATCAGAAGGTCTGTGGTTCGAATCCCAGCACGGGACTCGGACATTTCATGGCCGCTACATAGGCGCCCAACGTTGTGCTGAGCACGTTCATATTAAATTTGTGCAAAATAAGTCTCAGTAATCTGCTATGCCACTCGGGACGTGCCTTCTGTTGACGGGGGAGTAGCAGGGCATGGAGTCATCCCACAGATGACATCCTTACCTTGTCAGCTTGCTGACGGGGTTAACCTCTTTGGTCAGCACAGAACTCGGACATATTATAGCCGCTACAATAACAAAGCAGTTACCTTTACGGATACCAACACTGATTTTGCTCAAAATCTGACATAAATGTGCTCAGATCCACGGAGTACCCATGCAACAGACGTAAAAGTTCTGAGTCCTGTGATGGGATTCGAACCGCAGATCTGATCTGAGGTCAGATGGCCTGTCCACATGACCAAAGAAGTTAACCCTATCGCCAAATATAGAGTCAAAATTAATCAAACCTTTTCATTTACATAAGTTATGTAAGTATGGTAACCTCATACTGGGTTTGAACACTAACCTTAAAAAAGCCATCTAGAATTAGGTCCTCCCTGCAGTTGATTGTAAGGTCAACATCCCAATTGTGTGCTAGTGCCCTCTTGACTAACTCCAAGTTTTCTTTCCTGTTGTACCTCGGTCGACTCTTGATAAAGCTGACGTTGAGGTTCCCTTCATCATGATATACCGTTCCCCCACCACTCTTCCGCCGAGCCAGATCAACATTCTCTGCCAGGATTCTATCCACATTACACTCCATCCATGGATTCTGGTGCAGACCTACCACAACCGCAGGCCCATTACTCCACATCAACAAGTAGTTCTTATTTTCTAAATCTCCATTTTGATAAATCCAATCCTCCAAGGCAAGATTTTCAAAAATATTTTTTGATCTTGAAACATAAACCACATGTTCTGGAGCTGCTGTGGTGTACTGTTTTGGGTAATGTTCACTGATACGGGACAGTTCACGTTTATTTGCCTGAGTCCACTTTTTCAAAACAGAGCGTAGAAATAGTCCTGAGTGTTTACAACAAAATAACTTTTGGATCAACATTTCAATGAGACTGCCAACAGGATCCTTTGCAACTTTAACCTGAAACAAAAAGTTTACAATTGTTCAATCAGTTTGCAGTAAAAGCATTGCACTGTTGTGGATGCTTAAATTAAAACAAAATAATTATGCTACAGACGAGGGAAAATAAAAATTATCTTGGCTCGTAATTTACACTGGAATTATTTTGTTGAAAATAATTAGGATCCTAGTTCTCATTAATAACGTATCAAGTCTCGATACAAGATCCCAGCCTGGTCGAGCAGAGATAATATTTGCGACGAAAACTGGTGAATTATAAAATACTGGTCAGGACAACGTATGTTTCCCCATTGTTTGGTTATGGAAATAGTTATGGTACTTGGCCATAGCCTTAGAATGGCATCTTGTCAGCCAATGAGAATACAGAGCAACTTTCACAGCACACACTACTGACAAATAGCGAGTCTGATGCCGACATGCGTAATTGGACAAAATGGAAAACAATGAAAGCAACAAGTACTTCATGATTTGCCGTTGCATTCGGCAATGTTTCGGGTTGACTGCGTCATTTAGGGCTCCAAACCGAAAAGAACGTTATAGTGAAACATTTTCAAGATCATGTGAAATCTCTTATTGATTTTGAAAATATGGCCTATATCTCATGTATACCAGTCGAACTGCCCCAGCTACAAAATGCCCCAGCAAATTTGGTCATTCATTCTAATTTGTTCAAATTTATTTATAATAATTGAATATATGTTTTAAATGCATAGTTTTTGTCAATCTTATTATGATATTATGTTCTTTCATATAAAAGTTATTAGAAGTAATATTTCTGATAAATGTTTCATCAGTAAACTCATAACTATGTATATACTTATATATGAAGAACATAATATCAAAGTTGACAAAACTATGCATTTATGGCCTATATTTATTCATTTTAAATTAATTGGGGCTTTTTGACAACCCCAGTGGGGCAATTTGACCAAATTTGCTGGGTCATTTTGTAGCGGGGCAATTCCGACTGGCAATCGGACTTGATTTATTTTATGTTAAAATACCACTGACAGTAAGTTGTTACAGGGAATGATGGAGTATAAATGAATCTCAGGGGTACTTTTTCCATGAATTTGGATGATACTAAACATACAGTCACACCTGGATATACCGGCATGAGTTGCCAGAACGGATTTCCTCTCTCTATAATTCCCTTGATATAACCCCGAACTGGATATACTGCCACTGCCAAGCTTCTTGAGAACAAATGTTCCAATTCCCTGGATATAATGCCAAGTTTGATCACCAAATCCATTGCTTGTTGGTGTAATGCAACAGTTAATCCTTTTCTTTTGGAGACAGAATAAACCTCTTACTATCAAAACAGCTTTGTTTAAGCAAAAGGGAAGTTAATTGCTTTATTCATTGCCAAGTTGACTTGCTAATTGACTGTATAGACAGCAATCAGACGCCTAATCTACTCCTGAGTGATTATGTCACTGATTATGCCTATACATGTCCACCCTGGATATACTGCCACCCTGGATATACCACCACCCTGGATATACCGCCACCCTGGAAATACTGCCACCCTGGATATACCGCCAACCTGGATATACCGTCACCCTGGATATACCACCACCCTGGATATACCACCACCCTGGATATACTGCCACCCTGGATATACCGCCACCCTGGATATACCACCACCCTGGATAGCCACCCTGGATATACCACCACCCTGGATATACCGCCACCCTGGATATACCGCCACCCTGGATATACTGCCCAAATATGTCTGGACGGATGGTGTCGGTATATCCAGGTTTAACTGTACCTTATTTGCATTTCAAATACTCTCAAACGCTCCCTTATCAACTAGTACATTCCTCACAGTTGTTACCAGCAATATCTTGGCACCAGTATCATCCATTAGTATCTTCTTTGAAAGGCATAAGTTTAGAAGTTGGAGCAGTAAGGATAACAATATATGGATGAACAGCTTCTTTATTACAGTGAGAGAGATGTTATGCTCCTCTGTCCTCATTCGGTTCATCACTTGCTTGATAACGGTGTTAGAACCTACATCGAAATGTCACTCTCACTGTATTAAAGAAATTGTCCATCCATGTATTGATATCCTTCCTAACATCCAGTTTAGGCTGTGCTACTTTGTGGGATCCCCCAATGTAATAATTGTGATTAATGCTAATCAGCATAAAATTGAAAGAAGATGTAAGAACAGGTTCCAGCCCATGGATAGCAGGAGAGTTTTAACAAATACATCAGTCCACAAGTAATTTTTTTTGTATTAATATTGATTTTTTAGTTGGAGTTCTTGAGTCTGCAAGATGAACATTCAATACTTGAATCCTGGAAGTCACAAACATTGATTGTGCACAAGCAACTGGCTTTATGGCGTTGATTAACACACTGACAACCACCACAACAACATTTTCATATGTCGCAGAACTGACATGTCGTAGCAACTGACGCACTCCCTATTTCGATTCTTTTATGTGCGCTTCTTTGGATTTTGTTTTTAGGGGAGATCAGTCCAGCTCAAATTGTTAACCGTGCATCAAACTACAGGTACAACGGTTCCTTCTGGGAGTAAAAATAAACATATAAATAAATGTCTTTGACAAACACATGTCTGTTATACCTAGTGAACTACAAAATGACCTCAAATCCAAATATAGTTGGAACAACTTCGACCTGCTCGCAACCGCAATCCACGAAAGAGGTTAACTTGAAATTCGGAATATCTTTTGAGCAACGTTGTACTTATTTTAGATATTGTGCACTTAACAAATGCAAGTACGACATTCCATTGTGATCAATAAGTAGATGCTTTTTTCCTTTTAATTACACTGGTAATGACTGAGTCTACGTATTTTATCATTAGTAACAATGTCATCCTAATATTTCGCTTTTGAGTTCCACATTTACATTCATTCAAAATGGCAGCCTCCGTAAGTCCATACGAGGAGTGGTTGTCACAGAAATTGATTTCTTTGAACCCAGATGTGGATGGAGAAGTATTTGTAACCTATATTTCCGGAATCTTAGACACAGATACATCGAATGAAGAGAAGAAAGAGAGCTTGGAAGGAATAATTGCAGAAGTAGTGGTCAGTATAAAAATTCTGAGAATTTGTTCGGTTTTCGATCATTGAACATGATGCAAGTTTTGAAATAACTGTAACCCTACAGTTATTCCTGACCCCAGGAACCTATAAGGCCCTCAGGACCCGTGTTTCTCGCAGTAATATAATCAGTCAGACTAGATCTAGCATACCGTTAACGTTAACAGAGATTACATTGACTCTTCCAGCTGTACTCAGGTGGTACTACTGGTGTGTCTGGTCCAGACATGCAGACTTTTGTCTGACTTTCCTGAATCCAGAACAATCTCAATATCAGCTACATGACTCAGAGGTGGAAACGGGTAGACACCACTCACTATGTCCATCATGTCCACAGCTGTGCTTGATCACAGGGATTCATAAATTAAAATCTTTCAAGTATGTTCAAGTGTACGTTATGAAGTTTGATTAATTTCATCAAATTTTGGTCACCCAGGTGATTAGGTATGGATGGGTTATTCAAATTATGTGAATGAGTCTGCCAAAGTATGTTTGGTATGGATGATTTGATAGAGTCTATCCCTTGATTAACTCTTCATAATCTGATGGTAAGTTGTTGTTTCAGTGTTTCGTGGAAATGTATCATATGAACTATTTAAATAGTACAGTACAGTTATTTACAGTTTTTAATCCTTTACTGTATATTGGGTTCACTACTTGTGCTGTTTGTTATTCTTACTGTCCGCCTGGAGAGCGGAAGGTCGCGGGTTCGATCCCCGACCGCGTCATACCAAAAGACGTTAAACTATGGTACTTGTTGATCCCTGCGTGTGCTCTGCATTAATGGGTACAACAAGGACTGGTCGGCTCGGAGTCAGTATAATGTGTCTGAGTGGGGTATTCATGCTTCACTGCGGCATGGTATCTCAGTGGGCTAGCACTATAAAACCAGCTTAAGTTTGGGCTAGTACAAGCAGCCGCACATACACATACACACGCATGCACGTCGTCATATGAGCGAAATATTCTCAAGCACACCGTAAAACCCAATTTCACCTCACCTCACCTAATTCTTACTGTCTAGCCTCATCCAATTACATGCTACTCTTAATTAATTACCTGTTATTTATGTTAATCTCCTGCTTGTCACAACATACTATATATATCTGTCATCAGTAGGACTCCATGGTATTACCAGTATACCGCAATACGCTTTTCAAGCAATACATATTGTAATATGTTTTCTAAGAACCGGTATATTGAGTAAAGAACAAATATGAAGATTTTGTGATTATCTTTTTTGGTTTAAATTAAAATCGACACAGACTTTCATTCACAACAGATGTTTTACTTTATTATTCAATAACAAAACAGCATACCGTAAAACTATAAATACATAAAAAAGAAAATAGAACCTCTGACTATTAGTGCTGGTTTTGGCATACAACCTGCGATACGATACATCACGATGCTAAAATTTTAGTCACGACGATATATTGCCAAAGTATCATGCACTGAAGCTGTGATACGTTACGAATCCCGATATAAGGGTGACGATACGATACGTATCATGATACTTAAATATTTAATTCAAACACCTTCTATAAAACACCTGAATGTCAACACAAAACCATTTTAAAGTATTTCGACAAATTCCGCCAGCGCTTTTCAATGTTCATTCGGAAACGAGATAATTAAGTTTATAAACAGACTTTGGGAATGATAATAACATGTGAGCGCTATGTCGAACAAAGTTCTTGACCCAAGAATTTCCGAGAAAACGTTTACTTATGAAAGGAAAATAAGTAAGCAAATATTTTAATCATCCAACAAAAGGGAGTCTTTTTTCTTAACAGATATGTATCGTTGCCCATTTGCAGTATCGTATCGGGATATACGACAATGTAAAACTTTTTATCGAATCACTGTATCGGCAGCCCATGGATCGATGTATCGATGCGTATCGATGAATCGTCTCACCATTACTGACAATGCAACCTAAGTTTGAGATTGCTGTTATCAGAACCATGACATATATTTTAGGGACATTTGTTTACTTATAATGCAGGAAATTGGATCGACATGGGCAATTAGTGTCACCTACTGTGAAACACCCAAGTTCCCAATTTATCACAATGCGTATCGCAATACAGGTACCTGAATCGCAATATATTGCAGTAAAGTTTATTTGCCAATACACAGCCCCAGTCATCAGTCAGTTGTTCCATCATAACAGTGTGGGATTTCAACATAAAATGTCACTGTATGCAATAAACAAGAAGTTTTATCATTAAACATGTTAAAGCTGTACGCCTCATTATTTGCTCATTAGCATCTAGAATGCTTGGTTCCAAGAAACATGACAATGTGTCCTGACTTAATCAGGCATTTGCTATGTGTTTAAGTTATGTGTAGAACATTAAATATGTTAAACGGACAAAACTGGATCAGGGGTGGAAATAACCCATTGCCCGACGTCCGAGTCCAGTGTTTCTTTCTGTCGGGCAAGCAAATTTGTATATAACACTGTACCCGTGTCCACTTGACTTTCCAATGTTAATTATGTTGTTTATTTAAAAAATCAACCAGAAGACAGCCAGTATAGTGGAAAAATTATCAGGGCAAGTGATTTTACATGTGCCACTGTACCGAGTACACTAGCAATTTTAAAGTTATTTCCACCCCTGTGGATGTAATTACCCTTGTCTTCTCAATATTCAGATGCATCAATTTTGTATTTTGAACATCCTATATATCTTAAAATATTCCATTTTTGATTCACATTCAGCTGGGCACTTGTACACAAGCAGTTTAGGGGAGGCAACTAGTGCCTGACTATTTTGTTGTGTATGACTAAATCACTTGCTGAAAGGGAAAAACTGCTTTCCTCAAAATATAAAGATAACCTTTGAAGAAGCTATATTATTTTGTCACAACCTGCTTTGAGAATGCAGTTTTCTTTAATAAAGAAAAGGGTAAAAAACGTCAAATTTTGGAAGTAGTTTCTAGTAAACTTATTCTTGGAATGCTAGTCTTGTAATGTCTGAGACACGCTTAGAAGGACTTTGTTTGAAATCTGTCAACATGCAGTGAGATGTATTTCCAGAGTGAGGGTACGGAGGCTGTTTGTGAAGAACTGATTGGGAAATGGGAAGAAATTAATGGCCAGCAGAATTCAGGAGCAGACGGTAAATGTAAGTGTACAGGTCTGATGATACAATTTTCTCTGTGTACCTTGGTCAGAGCTATGTTATAGGATTATTTAGGTTGTTTGTGAGCTACATATAGCTGTAATAGTGGAAGATGCGAAACCAATCTTCAAACCTTTCTCCTATATGGAGAATCAAAACTGTCTCTCCAGCATTATGATGAAGTGAGATCTCTATCTCTACGTGAGACACAGGGTGGAAGCGCTGACCATACGAAATGTGGAGTTGCCCCAAAAGCAACTCCATTTCCTCGCTGGACAGTGAAAGAAGAACATGTGGCTCAAGAGTTATGGTAGGTTTTCCCTCGCATTTGCATTATTTTATAAGTATATCAGGTTTTGCCATTTGACAGAAGGATCTAGAAAGTTACAGATCTTTCTGTAATAGCTTGACACCCTGATGGATGTTGCTTTGGGGCAACTCCACATTTCGTATGGACAGCGCTTCCACCCTGTGTGAGAGGCCATAACTGGATGAGCATAATGAGATGGTCAGTCCCCAGACTTGGTTGATGCATATTAACATTGCCAAAATGTGTAAGTCGATGCTAATGCAAATCACTGGATTATTTGATCCAAAGTCAGTGATGTAAAGACTGCTGTCATGTAAATGTTCTTATATGTACAGCTCTTTTTGTTGTTGTCACAGAGATGTGTACATGTTTGTTTTCTTGTTTCTGATGACATTTAGGTAGCGTTGAAGATCAGCTCTCGGAAGATCTTGAGCACCCAGAAGTTGACTGTGACCAAAGGGAGAGAACTCACAGCAGAGGAGAAAGCGAGAAAGGCTGCTATACTGGCACAGTACAGCCAGGTGTCAGAAGGAAAGTATCCTTTCAAGTATAAACACTGTAGACTGGATTTGATGCATAATTGATCTGCGACCGCCTCCGTGGTGTAGTGGTTAGAGCGTCCGCCCGGAGAGCGGAAGGTCGCAGGTTCGATCCCCGACCGCGTCATACCAAAAGATGTTAAAATATGGTACTTGTTGGTCCCTGCCTGGTGCTCGGCATTAATGGGTACAACAAGGACTGGTCGGCTCGGAGTCAGTATAATGTGTCTGAGTGGGGTATTCATGCTTCACTGCGGCATGGTATCTCAGTGGGCTGGCACTATAAAACCAGCTTAAATCTGGGCTAGTACAAGCAGCCACACATACACACATGTACATCGTCATATGAGCGAAATATTCTCAAGCACGACGTTAAACCCAATTTCACCTCACCTCACCTCAGATTGATCTGTAACTGAAAACATGGTCAGTATTCTGCTGTGTTTCTTTTCATTTACCAGGTTAGTTTTATTTAGATGTTTACAGACATATTGATAATAAATCATCACATAAATTGCTGGAATATTGCTAACTGTGGCATCTAACTACAAACATCAAAATATGTTTATTACTCACCCATTGAAAATATCACTGTTTGATAACTCTACAATGTTATTACACGTATGAGACAATACTTTGTTGCCTGGAACTATTTTCCTGACCACTACCTAGCGATGACTCGGACTCGGATGACGACCCTGGGGGAGCTACAGGTGATGCTGACTGTATCCTTGCACTGGTTTCGCATGGGCTCAAACTTTTGGTTTTTGTTATTTTTTATTAATATTTCTAATTTCTGGGACCCTGTTGTATTGCTGTACAGTCGAGCCCCGTTTACACGGACTCCGAAATTCCGGAAATCCCACCTTTTGCACAAGCTTTTCGTGAAACGAAACTTTTCTTCTTTAAATGTACTCACAAACTCCATGCTTCCGGACACGGATGATGATTTTTCAATCCATTCCCCTTTACTTCCACTGAGAGTTGACCCGATTACCCGGAAGGCTTACTTACTGACAGGAAGGCGTATGAGTTACTACTTACCGGACAACTGATTATTGTGCATACGCTGTGACATGTTACCTAACATTGTTTCCACATGATGGCTGTGTGCTTGTAGAACCATAGAGCCAGAGTTTCTTTTACCATCCTACTTTTGTCATTAATCATGATAAGCCATTCTTGGTTTATGAATATGCTGTGAAATTATGAATGTGGATACAGACTTATTCCAAATGAAAAATACCCGTGAAGATCCGGGTTAGAATATTGATCTTCAGTAACCCATGCTTGTCATAAAAGGCGACTATCGGGATCGGGTGGTCAGGCTCACTGACTTGGTTGACACATGTCATAGGTTCCCAATTATGCAGATCGATGCTCATGCTGTTGATCACTGGATTGTCTGATCCAGACTTGATTATTTACAGACCGCCACCATACAGCTGAAATATTGCTGAGTGCGGCGTTAAACAACAAACCAACCAAATGAAAAAAAGCCAGATAACCACACTCTCCCACACCAGTTTGGTAGAGCAGGTGTTCTGATTAACTGTTCTTTAAGAACTAACACCATGTAAACATTTGTCAGTGACACATAAATTGTTAATCATCATGGTAAGAGATGACTGGTGTAGACATTCTTGCTATTGTTTCTGTATTGAATTCCTAGACAATATGGTGGTTAAACTTTTCACATATTCACAACATGGTCATACACTTAAGATTCTCTCTTGATAACACCTACTGATGTTGGTGGAATATTGTCAAAAGTAACCCCAAACTCCAACTCACTTACTCTTTGTCTGAGCTATGGCCCTTGACAGCCGCAGACCTGATGTGCCGGAACACCAACAAGGCAGACGTGGACAAAACAGAGCGTGAGAAGCGAGATAAAGCTAAGAAGGAATCGGACGAGAAGCGAGAGAAGGACAAGCAGGACCGCGAGGCCCAGAAGGCTAAGGCCCAAGATAGGAAGGACACGGAGAAGAAGCGCACTCAAAAGGGGGAGAGGAGGCGGTAACGCTGGCTGGCTTTAGGGAATTCCATATTTTTGTACGCATCATCTGACTTGGATTATGCATATGAAAGAACACGTTTCAAGATCAATGGAACATCTGAATAAGACTGCAGTTGTTACCATAGTAACAGACAAATAGTCCTGAAGCTGCAAAAAATTAAATCCATGTGTTCTAGGGCAATGACTTTTGAAATGCTAATAACTCATATGTCTATATCGATCTATTTTTCTGAAGTGTGAAAACATGCTGCCCTTGGTGCTGATTTGATATTGGTCTGAGAGTAAGAATGAATTGCAATCATGCTGGACATTGTTGCCATGGTTACTGATGAACTGTTTCATGAGAACCATGCAGGAATGGTATTAAATGTAATGATAAGTCAAATACTTAAGAAGTCATTTTAGTATGTGTATTTTGAATGATTTTGACCAAGGTGTGACAACTTTAATCTGACTGATTCCTCTCGGTGTTTACCATCAAGAGCAAGGTCTGAGTGTGCCAAAGACATATTGCTCAGGTTGTGGAATAGCATTTTAATTTCGCATGAAAAGTTTAACAACTCTTGCTGGTCACACATCCCTGACATGATTAAGTGACCAAATATTTCTTGCCTTCAAAGAAAGGAGAGTAATTTGTGGACTTGATTGCTTGCTATCTTGTATTCTGGGTTTTAGATATTGCCCAGTCAGCCTGTGCATGTCATTTGAAGAGATTAATACAATCTGTGTCACCTTATCCCAATTGCGTGGAATGTTACTTATACAATCACAGGATTGTCTGGTCCAGATTTGACTATTTATTGATGGTTTTCATTTAGCTGGAATATTACAGGCAAACAATCTGCACATGCAGACACATGTACACACATGCATGCATGCTCAAGCATGCACACAACAAACCACACACACACGGATATATTGGTTCCTGTCATCTGTAGATCGTGTATATTTAGGGCATGTGCTGATCAGTGCTATATAATTACCAATAACCATAATTAGATGGGCATTACAGTCTTGTGTGTTTTGGAGACAAATCTGAAGGGATGTGAAACATTGACAGATGTGGACAAAATAGTAAAATCATTTTCCCACATAGTGACATTCTGGCTGTCTTGACAGAATCGATTCACAAACCTGCTTCTGTGGCAGACAGAACAGGGCGCGTTGTTTAGCCGATACGCTGTGCAGCGCTGCGCTTCTATTGGCTGAACAACGCCTCGCTGCATGCATCGCAGCGCTTCGGCGTGCAGCGACTGAGAGAGGTGCTTCCTGCGTAAGCGAGAGACATTCAAAATGGCGTCACGGCATGTCATTCTGCAAGGTAACAGAGAAAACTTGTCTGCTCTTCTGTGACCAATAGGGACAAGTTTTTAATGTTGCGCATACAATTAAAAATCATTGCATGGAATATCTTCTACAGCTTCGTGTGCCAAAAGTGTGGCTAGTATCGGTGATGTGTTTATATTGGACGACGCCATATTGAATGAAGCGCTCACACAGCAGTCCGTTGCACGGGAAAGCAGGCAGCGTAGCGCAGCGAAGCTTGCAAACTTTTGCTGAACAACGCGCCCCAGAGTAGCAACAGTTAAGGTCAGGGTAGAGTCAGGCTGAATAGGATCACTGCAGCCGAGGTTGTGGTTCTGTCAGACTGAATAGGATCGCTGCAGCTGAGTTGGTTCTGTCAGACTGAATAGGATCACTGCAGCCGAGGTTGTGGTTCTGTCAGACTGAGCAGGATCACTGCAGCTGAGTTGGTTCTGTCAGACTGAACAGGATCTTTTTGTTGAATACTGTGTTTATTGTACGTTAGAGGTATTCATTACCTGCTTGGAAATGCACTGTTCTATTTACAGAAGACAAAGAACACCTGATGGTATGACAGGTTATCTGATGTGTTATGAAAATATTAGTTCTTTAACTTCTAGTAAATGTTGACCTTGCTCATTACAAAGAAACTTTCTTTTTGATCACTTTGTTAATTTATTTCCATTTCTCATGGTAAAGGGTCAAATGAATAATGCTCATGCTATGGTTATTAGATATTTTTCAATTTCTCAATTTTTCAGTTGTATATTATAAGAATATCTTTTTCAGTTTTTGCAGCCAGTATTTTCTTTTCATTAAACATTTATGCTTTCAAAAGAACGTCTCGTGTTTCCCCCATTTTCATTTCATTGTTGGCATTTGATATAGATGCCACGTGTCCCAGGTTTGGAAATTGTGATCACTCTGTCTCTCTACCTTGTTTCATTTTGGGTTATTATCACTGTAGAAAGATACTGCATCTGTAGAGAATGAGTGAGTGAAAAGGCATGTACACATGAGTTTTGAGGATGCATTATTGTTTTAAATGTGTGTGACCTTTATCACTCAAGTTATTTAAACTATCAGGGATAGATACAATGAGTATATTCAACTAGTTCTCAGCTCATTTAGGTTTGCATTCGGAGAGGAAAACCATTCTGGGTTTCCATTAGTCTTGGGACAAGTCTAACAGGCTGAATATAATGATCATGCTTGTCTTCAGTCATCTCACCCAATGAATGGACAATAGCAACAGAAGCACATCTACTTCAAAATGTTTATTTGCTGAAGTAATCTTCAAAAGTAACAGACTTATTAGATTGCTGGGAACATGCAGAGAATATGGTGTTGAGGAACATAAAGATGAAGGGTTTATTGGTGCCAGAAGGCATTTACTATGTACATGTTTGAAGGTCATCTCCATTTTGTTGATTTAATTTATTTTGACCTTAGTAATGATAAGTTTTGGATTTGGATTTGTTCCCAATACAAAACTTATCATTACTAAGGTCAAAATAATTATATTCCTCCATGAAACACCGGGCCAAGGTTGAACTCGAAGTGTATACTATCCATGCAATTCCTCCCATTGTTAATGATCGTAGTGCTCCGACTCTTGCATGTTTTTAGCCCCTTGGTTGGAATGGCTATCTTGCAATCCCTTATTCAATGTGTAATCCTCAACGGCAATTATATGTGGGACGTTTGAAATATTTACTGGATTGTTTGTGGTATGTGCATAAAGAATGTATAAAACATCATCCATGTTTTGTTTTTTCCTTAAGGAACTAGTTTCCTTTTGAGATTGGGTATTCAAATAAATAAAGTTGTGTTGGGCAGACCTTTATATACGCCCACTAAGAAAATTTATCATCCCAAACTGTGTTCTACAGGAAATATTGCTTGTGTGAGATTCTCTAAATATCTCCTAGCAGATATCGTTTTTTCGACAGTAGATTTTGTACAATGCCCTCATATCATCAAATTACATGACTCACAATACCATGACGTCCAAAAGCTGATGACGTCACAGTGCTATGATATCGCTGCACTACAAGTCTAATGGGAGTACCCTGTTCAGAGATGTACATTTTTCACTGAAAACTAATGAGTGATTTTTGATGATAAATAGAATCACACCCTCATGTCTTCTGATATCAAATATATAAATACACATTGATAAAATTTAAAATACCCCCAACAAGCCTCGGATATTTGTAACTTTATCAACTCGTGGTGATATATTTAATATCAAAAGACGCTCGGGTGATCTGGGGCGGTGGGGTAGCCTAGTGGTTAAAGCGTTCACTCTGCACGCGGAAGACCCTGGTTCTATTCCTCACATGGGTACAATGTGTGAAGCCCATTTCTGGTGTCCCCCGCCGCGATGTTGCTGGAATATTGCTAAAAGCGGCGTAAAACTGACCTCAATCACTCACAATATATTTCTATGATGAAACAGCCGAACGGCTACTATTTTGTGATGATGCATTTTTGTGACTGGAGTGTGATCTCGTTCACAATAAACAGGTTTGACCATTCAGCTCAGATATGGCAATTTAACTGATCATTTAAAATACAATATCGGGTTGGGGTTGGGTTCGAGCCTACTTACACCATGACCAACATTCAAGGATCCATAGCGCCTAAATGTTTAAAAACAACATTGTTTTGATATCTGTCAGTCAGTCAGTCTAGATTTCTGACGACGGTCTAAATTTACAGCAAGCCAGCCCGATGGTCTGGTAAAACTTTTAAATGTTCCATACATCTGAGTAAATGCACCATACATGTATTTGGTCTGGTTAAATCCATTTTGGGCTGGTAACATTTTGAAGTTACCAGCCCTGATGTCTGGTTGGATTTTTGGCTTATTTCACACAGTTATCTGTGTAAAATGATATTGAAGAATTCAGTGCTAACTGGCACCCATTTTCCCACCAGATAAAGAATACCCAATGTCCTAACCAAGGTCACCTCTTTGGTGATTCTGGTTATGAAATGCACATCTTGACTCATTTATGCAATTCTAACCACAATTTCAAATTGTCAAATTATGATCGTTAAATCATAAAGAAATCTCCATTTTTTTCTAAAATAATTTGACAGATCTAAATGAAGTGTTATTTGATTGGATGTTTGATAGAACCTCAAGAACGTGCAATAAATCAACAATTATTGTGTTCAATTTCTTTTATTCGGGGGGCGGTGGGGTAGCCTAATGGTTAAAGCGTGGGCTCGCCACGCCCGAAGACCCAGGTTCGAATCCCCACATGGTCACAATGTGTGAAGCCCATTTCTGGTGTCCCCCGCCGTGATGTTGCCGGAATATTGCTAAAAGCGGCGTAAAACCAAACTCAGTCGGTCGGTCTTTTATTCAGGGTACTGAAGAGGCCGCAGGCCTATATTTCAATACAAGTGTGTACAGTTACATGGTATTTAAAACAAATTTTCTACTGTTGAACCCATGATAGATGTACATTGATAGATTTTTAACAATTTGTAGATTTGTTGCTTTCAACAATAACCTTAATTTATATTCACAGTGATTGATGCGGTAAAATGGGGGTATATATAACATTCTTAAATTGTGAAAATGCGGACAGACTAATATAAAATGATACTCATCTTCTATCACCCCTAAATCACATAACATGCACAGTCTATTTTCTCGTGGAACATTATGATATCTGCCCTTTTCTATATTTAATTCATGGGATGTACATCTTAGTCGTGCAATTGCTGTCCCAAACTTTTTAATGTTAATATCAAGGAGGTAATGCTCTGCTATAAGATCTGATTTAAAGGTGCTATATAATGAGGTTTGGGGTGATAGAGCTAGCGAGGCAGTCCAGAGTTGCAAGTACATATCTTTTAACCTTTGTGTTACAGATTTAATGAAAACATTTGGGAAGCTAATACAATCAAGTTTAAAAGCATATCCGAATCCACATGTTTCAAGCATATTTCTCACATTTGTTACCCAATTTATTTTACTATTTCTATCATACATACACATCATATTGTAACATTTTTTGGGATAACGTGACTGCGGCATATTTACTGACCTTATCCAATATCTTAAAATGTGCTTATATGCTTCAATATATAAAGGGTAACGTCCACATTCTCCATAAACCATGCAATTAGCGAACAGTTTCATATCTATTTCATGACCACATTGGCACAAAACTCACGTTTGTTTTTACCGCATATCAGCTGCCATTATGACCCGGATGTTGAATATGTTACATATGTTGAATATGTTTTGGCCTCAGATAGCTTGAAGCATCGGAATCAGTCGTAGAGACGCTCAACCACTAAGCAGACTGCTTCAGGATGTCAGATACGGTTGATCGTCCAGTCTTCATATCAAACTTCTGCTCAGCAAGGGGTCGCTTAGCAGGTGGTGTACTCGTGACAAACATCTTG